GAGTCGTGCGCAACTCGCGAAACTGCCGCTTTTAAAGGTATCATGACCAGTCTGGTTTCAAAAATTTTCAGAGATGCAACTTCTATTCGTATCTTCATACACCCGGTTGCCTCTTTGAGCCGGCAGGTTTGAATGTCCGTTAAAAAGGATGACACGTTTACGTTAGCTCTCGAGGAAGGGATTAGAGACTCGACGCGATCGATTTAAGCGAAACCAAAGCGGAGACTCAAACGAGACGAAAATAAAGGCACACAAAAGCCGAGCTCGGAGTCTAATAAAACCCGAGCCCGGCAACATCTGGCTCGCGCATCCCCGAAAATAAAACAGTGACGGATGTTTTTTCGCGTCTTCTGTCGGTGCATTTCATATGCGCCCGGAAACCCCGTTTCTTCTCACGCTTTCTGCCGCTGCACCTCCTCTTCCTTTTGCCACTGCCTCTGACACAGCAGCGCGGGTCGCTAAAAAGAAAAGAAGATGGAACGAGAGAGAGAGAGAGAGAGAGAACGAAGAAATGAATTCTTACCACAAACGAGAACACTTGCTCCACGAGTCCCTCCGTGCTATTACTCCTTTGAACCGAACACGGTGAATCGAACGCTACGATCGGAAGGACGCTTAAAATAAATTTATCCGGCGACTAGGATCGAAGGCTTACACGGAGCTCTCTGTACGCGAACGCTCCCATCCGGTTGAACGAGCAGCCTTCGTCTGGATTCAATCGCGCCTGAAAGTGAAGATTTCTGATTAGCGAATGCTCCACGTTCCCTACGCGAGTCTTCTAATTATTTTTCACTCGGTACCAGATTATTCCACTTACCGTCCTTCTCCATTAACTTACCCTCTACCCTCTTTCCGCTGGGGCTGTAAAAGTGGCGAAGCTCGACGAGCTTTCAGCCCGCGACGCGACGAACATCGTCGCACAGAGATAACTCCTTCAGACAGTGATACGAGTCCGACAGTGCTTTGCACTACGTAAAACGTCGATCACTGCCCGTGGCACGGTTCAACTTCCAACTTCCATCCACGACGAACTTCTTCCTGAGAAGAACGTCTCCCTGTAACCACGAAAACTCGCAACTAATTTCCCCCAGAGTGTGTTCCTTACATACTGACAGACAAATTCTCGCACAGTGGAGAAATAAATAATCCAACTTTCGACTCATCTCGCTCGCACTACTCGCCTATCGATCTCCGAATAACGTTAGAGTGTCTTCCCTGAAATTATCCGGTTCCCATCGAACGGTGGACGACGTACATCGTGGTGGAGTGGACCGTGGAAACGAGTGGGAAATGTAGCACGATGGAGTTTCCCGGCCAACGCGAAACGAGACCGTCTATCGTTAGCAGAGCGTGACTACGTCGCCCGAGTGTCGAGGGAAGAAAAAGAGGAGAACGGGGGAAAAAGAAGAAACGGGGGAAAAAGGAGTAGGAGCAAAGCCGAGAAAAAATGGGTGTCACGGCGGTGCAGCGCGTCCCAATTTTTCATTTCCCAGCAACCCTAGGCCGACCCTGCGTGGAGGAACACCGAGGCAAGGATGAAGGCGGCGATTGTCGATCTAGGCGAAACGTCTCGCGCGTTTGTTTGATTTCATTCGGAACCGACTGATTTGTTTGCGTCCATTTCCGCCCGGACAACGCTATTTCCACCTATCGAACGTGAAACGCTAAGCGCCCCGGTGAATCGCTCGGAAAGCCGAACGCGCTCGTGAAATAAATTCCGACCGTTTGCATCGAGTCTCCACCGTTTCCCCGACGTTTCCAGGCGAAACGAACTTTACGCTGCTCGATCGGTGAAATGCCCCCTGACACTTTGCGGTAGTCGGTCGTCTTGAAAACTTAATTTTCCGACCGGGTATTTGCCGTTGTGAAACGAGAAGGAAAATAGAACAGGCGCGAAACTTGACGGAAAGTATACAATGAAGTTGTACGATGAAAGAGTGAGAAATATTCCTTTGATGACTCAACAAATCGTACCACGTATCGCGAATTTATAACTACGAGATACAGGAGACATTCAAGGATCGAGGAAATTAACTCTGTTTTTTAAATTTATTTATAATTCAATGCCAAACCACTCGATCGATGTCTAATTTCTTATATTTCAATTAAATTTCTACCTCTTGTTCTGTGCTAGTGATTTTCAGCGAATGTGTCATTGCAGGCTATTACATCGCAGAAATTTTTGAATGCGTCCTGAGAATTTATTTTCTTCCTGTTCAATCGAGAGCGCGGATTTATTCTCTCCCAAATTAGCAAACAAGGAAAATGACAATTATGAATTAAAATTCCATCTATATTTTCCTGTCATACCTTTTACCCCTTTGCACTCGACGATTTTTTGGCTAGAGAAGAGTAGAAATTCAAAGATTCTCTACTAAAAAACTAACGATACCTTTTTTTAACAGTAAATAAAGAATTGTATAATAATAAAATTGTAGAATTATTTGATTTCGATACCTTATATTACATTAAATTTGATATATTAATTAATAACGATCTTCCAAATTTTATGAAATGGTGACTGAATCTCATCTTTCGAGTGCAAAGGGTTAATTTACCACGGGAATTTGGTAATGAAGTTATGCAATGTCGTGCGATAAGGAAGATCAAAAATCACTGTTCCGTGGAATTAATCGTATCCGAGTTTTTCCCGACTGTACCTGAAACCAGAAGCCTCGCAATTCTCCGTGAAATAATTGCAGAAATTGGATTTCAACTTGGTTTATCTGCTTCGTGCCTTCGCCGATGCACTACCGCTCGGCGAACAGGATTAAGCACGGCCATGGTTTATCTCTTTTCCCCAAGGGGTTAAGGCACGCACTCGGAGTCACGCATTAGAGGTGAAAAGCAACTCGTCTGTTCCCATTCGAGGCTTCTCCGACCTCCTATTCTTCGCATCGACTCCACCCCCGTAAACTGTTTACCAGCTGAAAGCAAAGCTCGACGAACGATAGACGCGTTTGAGAAACGACGCGAGTTGCGGCCTCCGAGAGATTAAATGGCGTCACGAGCGTACGCCAACTCGCGGAAATTCGCACGCGCGAAGCTTAATTTCCACGATCTCGAATGCCAGCAGGATGCTGGAACGCGCCGGTATGATCATCGTAGAATTCACGCGGAATGCGTGATGAGCAACAACCAGAATGACACCGAGGTCCCGAAAATACCACGTGTGGGCGCCATTTTCTTGTAACAACGAAACGAAATTATTCTGTAGAGATCTAATCGGTATGTCGTTGCTGTTGGGAATATTTTTCAGGAATTTACATTGCCCTTGAAGAAGCTTGGAATTTATGAAGAGAGAAGACCAAGGTAAGAGAAAGGTAAATAGGAATATGCAAATTCATTTTTCTGACATGAAAATATTAATTCAGTGTACGAATGGCCGGTGATTAAATAAGATTGGTGATCGTCAACGATACTTAAAACCAAAACGTGCTTCGATTCTGATCCGTTGCAGACTTTGAACAACATTAAACTACGACAGGTGCCATTCACTTGCGATAACGAAACAAAATTACTCTGTAAGCATCTAATCGGTATATCGTTGCTGTTAAGATTATTTTTCAGGAATTTACATTGCCCCTGAAGAAGCTTGGAATTTATGAAGAGGGAAGACCAAGGTAAGAGAAAGGTAAACAGGAATATGCAAATTCATTTTTCTGACATGAAAATATTAATTCAGTGTACGAATGGCCGGTGATTAACACTAGAACTACCAACCCAGTGAAGATGACTGGTCCCAGAATTTTCCTTTTTGCAATCACCGAACACATACACCTGCTTTAAGAGCAAAATTGGTATCAACTCGTATTAAGAAAGAAGTGTAATCAATATATTCACTCGTATTCATCGTATCGCTGAAATTACTATAATCTGTGCACGTTATAGTTAGGCACCCATTAAAGATCGATAGTTCTAGTGTTATAGAAGATCGGTAATTATCTACGATATTTAAAGGGCTGATCCGCTGCAGATTTTGAACAACATTGAACTACGACAGGTGCTATTCACTTGTAATAACGAAACAAAGTTATTCTGTAGAGATCTAGTCGGTATATCGTTGCTGTTAAAAATATTTTTCAGGGATTTGCACTATTTCTGAAGAAGCTTGGAATTTATGAAGAAGGAGACCTAGGTAAGAGAAAGGTAAATAGGAATATTAATTGAGTGTACGAATGGCAGATGATTAAACAAGATCGGTAAGTGTCTACGATACTTAAAACCAAAACGTGTCTGAATTCTGATCCGCTGCAGACTTTGAACAACGTTAAACAGTGGAACACACAGTGCCTTTGATTTCTATTATGCAATGAACGTGCGTTCCAACGCAATATCGTTAAATGATGAATGGGAAGTAAGTGGAAGGCTGATAAATGGGTCAACGACGTCTCGTTTGCATTCAGATGGCTAGATCTGTTGCACTTTGCCTGGATGAATCGCTTCCATTCACTATCGTATCGCGTGGAAAATGTCTGTGAAACCACTGACTCTGAATGAATTCTGTTTGCGATCCGATGATAGTCTCGTGAAACGATACGAGGGAGACGAACGTAGACTGGGCACAATCGAAGGAAGGATCGACAAAGGAGATTCACTGTAAAGTTTTATTTATGTCGACCATAAAGTGGAAACGTACTCTAAACGCGTCACTGTTCCTTCGATCCTATTTGACGAAGGGTTGCATCCTTGACCGAAGGGAGTCTGGGATGGGAGAGGATGCAGAACTAGAAAAATAGCGACTACCTGCGAAACTGAAAAGCGATAGGAGGATCTGGTCGAGTGAAGATGTCAAATACGATTTGATTCGCGAAATGATACCGGTACTTCGTTCGATATTCTAATCACTATGGATCATGCTGAGTGGCATAAAGGTGATGACAAAACTGGTAATATAGACTAACGATACAGAGCTATACATACAGCATGAAATCGTGATATCAAAAGCATTTCGACATAGTCGACGAGTGACTGGCTGTAAAGTGTTGTTACGAGTAACATTAATTATGAAAAATTTTATTGCTTAAGACACCTGTTATTTTCTGGTACAAATAACCTATAAAAATTATATCGTTAAAATCCAATATCTAAGATAAGTATCTTAAGAGTTAATTGCATTGACACAGATAACACCACGATAACATGGCAATATATCAAGTGATATTAAGAATAAAAACATATGCGTAATCTTCTCAACAACTCTTTGTAACCGCGTTCATACGCAATTATGCTCCCTTCGTATTGTACTAGTAAGTAGATCGTTGTACGCCTACTCCTATACTCTTAAAGTGTAAAAAAGCACCAAATTAACAAAAAAGATAACATCGTTTAACGTTATGATAAAACATTCACAGCGATCCTTGGCCAATTAGCATAGTTAACGCATTCGTTGTTCGGTTCTCGGTACAACAGTAATACGGCTCATATCACAATAATCGATTTCTCAAACACGATCCCACCGTACTCTGTTCTTAACTGATAGTTGATCCCATTATGATGTGTATTGTCAGTCGACACCTCGCGAAAGGTTCCCATCTCCGTTAAGAAAACAGCCTTCATTATTTGTACTCCTTCAGCTTCGTTCGTTGAATCTTTCCACTAGCGGTCAACGGTATACTGTCTACAAATACGACTCCGCCTGAAATCGCAAATTTACCCTCGGTCAATCGCAAAGATATTTTAATTACGCCTATCGAGAGAAATCAAATCGATTCTACGCTATCTAAGAGTAAAATGAAAACAAAAGAGACGTAAACAGGAATACGTGAAATTACAGATGCAGCGTGAATACCAACAGGTACGAAAACATATAAGGGGAACGTCTATCTTGATTGTCTGAAGAAATTTTCTTGATACGACGAAAGAGTGATTAACGGTGCGAAATCCATGAACAGTACAATGTGGGATTAAATCAAATATATAAATATCGGGAATATTTTACCTTCCAACCGTTTGAACTCGGTCACTTTGTTTTTCACGAAGTCCTTGATATCTTCCGCCTTCACCGTAGCGCCCTTTTTCAAAACTACGAAAGCTTTGGGTAGCTCTCCGCTCCTCTGATCCGACACACCGATCACGGCTGCTTCCTGTACAGCTGGGTGCGTTCTTAGCACAGCCTCTAACTCAGCTGGTGCTACCTGTAACACACATTGGGAACCGATGAAAGGTCGATATTCGACGAACAAACGCACAATATTCGTTATGCAACTGAACATAGGTTGAATCGGTTCAACCTATTCGGATAGGTCGAATCAATAGAATGCACGTTTTATGTAACTGGCAACACGTGACTGGATTTTTTACACCACGGTTAAAATGAAATTAACGCAATTGCATAAATTATAAGATGAACGCGAAGTTCTTGTTGCATATAAAAAATAAAATGCGCTGTAATTTTAATAGACGGTATCCTTCAATAGCAATCATCGAGCTTCGACAAGAAAACACGCGAAAAAAGCATCGATGGAATTAATGGAGGAAACAATGGAGGAAAAAGCCAGCTACCTGAAATCCTTTAACTTTGATTAGCTCCTTCATTCTATCTGTGAGGAAGAAATCGAATTCTTCGTCGTAGTAACCAATGTCCCCGCTTTTCAACCAACCGTCCTCGGTGATCATCTCCCTTGTGGCACTCTCGTTGCCAAAGTACCCTTTCATCACGTGAGGCCCCCTGACCCATAGTTCGCCAGTTTGACCCGGACTAAATATATCGTTATTCGTAACCGGGTCGACTAATCGTATTTCGCTGCTGGCTATGTTCTTCCCGATACTTCCTGGCTTTTTACCGTCTATATTTAGGCAAATGACTGGGGAAGTCTCCGTCAATCCGTATCCTTTTCGAAGAGAAGAAAAGAACGTTACATGTGCTGTTATCAGTTTGAACAAAATGAAAAAGTGTACGATATGTCGGAAGTTTGAATTTCGTTTAAAATGAAGCTTCGAAAAGAAACTATAATAATCTTCAATGACGTACCTTGACAGAATTTCAGTTTCTCCTGATTTATCTGGAACTTTTCGTAGAATCTCTGTACGTCCTGTTCCGCCAATGGCGCTGCTCCACTGACAAAGTGATGCATGGATTCAAAATGCTCCTTCTTCATTAACGGCGAGGTGGCGAGGAACATGACTATCGGTGGTACCAGGAACAAACCTGTCACCTATGAGCGAAACACCATTTAAAACATCTCGAAGCGTTCCCTCTGGTTTCGAATAAATATCAAAACTCGAGCAAAATCCGTACCTTGTGCTTAGTCAAGACGTCCAAAAATAATTCCGGCAGGAAATTGGGAAGAGTGATTAATTTCGTCCCAGCAGCGAGACGCGGTAGTACGCAGCAATTCATTCCGAAAATGTGGAAAAAGGGTAAAAATACGGGCGATACTTCTTGGAGATCACCTGCGAGGATAATGAAGCTCGTTAACGATGCTAAACATAATTTAACATAATTTAACATAATTTAACGACGCTGAAAGGATATCTATTCACCAATTGTATCGCGCCACATTTTTCCTGCAGCCGTTTGGTCCACCATTTGAATGTTACTGACTAGATTCCTGTGCGTCAATATGACACCCTTCGGCAGTCCAGTCGTTCCACTGGAAAATGGCAGCACGGCCGTGTCGTGAGTGGTCATTTGGTAATTCTTTATAGGTGGTAACGTTTTGCCTCGCGTGATAAGGTCCTGCAAAAGTTTGGTCAACGTGAATCAACGTTCTGCTTCGAAATGACGTGAAAGCGATCGAAATCGATCAATTCTACTGCGCACCTTAAACGGCACGGTGCCCTCGGGAATGGGTCCGGTACCATCTTCGATAGCTATGATGGGTACTCCAGGCGGGAGATAATCTTTAAAAGCTAGGACAGCGATCCGTGCAATTTGCGCCACTGTGAGGATCACCTTCGGGCTGGTAACCTTCAGTTGCCTCATAATTTCCTCTGTAGAAAATGTATCACAGATTAGTTTCTGATTGATTTTCTATCGGAATGTAATAGGTTTACTGTTATTACGAGCAAGTAACAATATCGCGAGAACTTCTTTCCGCTAAATCACAATTCAAGGAAAAATTGAACGCGTTAGAAATTTCCTATGCATACGTATAAATGCCAATTAATCGGATTCATGGATCAACTTACCAGGTGTATAAGTAGGGTTAACCGTGGTTACAGTAAGGTCAGCTTCTAAACTTCCGATAGCGCCTATGATCGTTTCCGGATAATTAGGCGATATCAGGGCTATTATGTCTCCCTTTGTAAAGCCCATATTTCTCAAACTTCGCGCGACATAATTACTCGCGTCCCTCGCTTCGCTGTACGTGTACTTCCTTCCGGTCACCGCGCATTCCTAAAACGACCGCATCCAATGAACTTCCATATCGATACTTGTGTTTACATCGTGCAATTTTATATTATATTATCGAATAGAAAAATTACCGGATGCCAATGTCGAACACGCGTTAGAAACGTGCGATAGAGATTCAAACGAGTGCAGAATTTAAATAGCAAATGAAACCGGTATATCGAAGTCGACATCGATTGTCGATGTTTTGTTGTCGTGCAAGTATCGTACCGAGAAACGAAAAGGGGGAGAAAAGAAAAGAGAGAACGGAGAAAAAGGAAATAAACCTAAAGGATGTTCTTCCGAAAAGCACCAGCGTGGAAAAAGATATTGGTACTTCTTTAAAACAAATTATTAAATACCCGAAAGTAATCATTCTCATTTAGGATCTATCCTTCGTCTCTTCCATCCTCTTGACACTTCGTGCCGACCGGCCACTGATGCTTTTTGAAACTACACCCGATCCAAGTCGTTTTTCCGTGAAATTACCAGTGCAATTTTGTCCGCATAATTCCCGATGTTCTTCCATATGTGCTCGTGCAGGAGCATATCGGAAGGCGTGATTTCACCATGAGGTGAAGGGAATATTTTTTTTCCATTTTCATCCTCGATGATTTTCTGTCGTGGCTGGGTAGACATATACGTCACGGACCGGTTTGAAACTTTCCTCCCGCTCTCCGATAACTGGCCTAGTCTCCTGGCGCAACGGAGAATTTGCCTGACACTCGTCATTCTTTCTTCTTTCTCGATGTCCAAGTGTCTCAGCAATTCATTAGCAGTTCGTACGGTCCTCGGCTACCAGCGTCTGAAAAACAGCGAGGAAACAGTCAAGTAAGTGGACACTGCGAGGAAATCTGGCAGCGCAAAAGTGGCCATATAAGTGGATCGCGTGAAAGCGAAAAATGCATACAATAACACGCACGATCCAATATGTTATCTAGCCGGTACGATGATAAAGAAGGCAAGTTGCGTTGCAAGACGCCGAAGATAAATGGACGACACGCGTTAACGCGAATCGGTTAAGCGTTCGAAATCAATTTTGCGTACGCGCGAAACGATTGCGAAACATAATGGGATTTTAATGGGAGGCTGAGCAGTGAAGTTCCTTTCTGAGAATTTATGAGCGCAAAACTGCCTGTCGACTTGACTCAACGCGTTGTTCCGGAAGGCACTGGTTGCTTGGAAAGTTGGCCGTTAAACACTAAATCTGAAATACCAATTTCAGCAGTTCTCACGATTTCCGAGATACTGCTCCTCTTTTTAACCTGCATTGCGTAATCTTGAATAATGAGAGATTTGGGTCAGGTCTGGATAAAGGTTTTGGAATGGGAGCGCACTGGGGATGAACGGAAACCCTTTCCCGCCCATGCGTTTGGGTGTATCTGAAAAATAAGGCGGGTTGATTGTTAGATGCTGCACTCTATAGAAACCGATGCTAGATATAAGCATACGTCATCGACTATTCGATACTCGAAAACGATTCTTTTTCACTCTGACTGTATAAACAAATTTTTGCAAAAATATCGAAATTTTTATAGAATTATATTTTACAGATAGGATCTACCGTCTCTCTAAAAATTTGTCTTCGATCGTGAATTCATACTACGTAGTCTGTTTACACGCAAATGTATACACTTGACAAGCCTACGTTTTCCCTTCCTCCTTTCTGAAGTAGTATTAGCTGAATGACGAATAGTCGACGATGCATGACTGTGTGTCTTTGATTTCTACAAAATGTGTCATCGAAAATCCACTCGTCTTTCGTTTTCAAAAGGGACTCGTCGCTTCTTTCGAAAATTCGTTATCGGTGAGGATTTTGGAAACGGCACTCGCGATTGATTTCGCGGGAATTTGATCGATCAGCGATCGATATCGACATTGCGCGAATAATCGTGCCAAGGATTACTCGATTGCGCGCGAAGACACCGATGAACCCGATTGCGACATAGAAATCGAATGCGTGATTCGCAACGAGAATGCGAGACGGGTGACGTTTTATCAACGGACTGAATTGTTTGCATCGAATCAGAAGAAGCTTAATCGGCGTGACGAATTGCCATGCAATAATAAATAACGGTTCAAAGTACGATGCAGTTATCGGTGTTAACACACCTCGTTTGAATGTTATCTCGGCGGTATGTAAATATACCGATTTCTACTCTCGTTATCGCGGTAGTCTTTAAAAGAATCGAGTGACTAGCAATTGTTGGGAACTATGTTGTTTCTCTGAAACGTCGCCGGCTAGGACGATAACAAACAATGACAGGACGTTCTTGCCGTGCTCGTGTATACGTTCTCTAGCGCAGTAACAACGTTGAATGGAATATTAATAAGAGGTCGACTCGATCGTAAACAAGTCCGAGGAGAACCGAATCGAATCGAACCGTATCCGTTTACGGTTTCGTGCCGACCGACGCGAATTATGCCAGAGCACGATGTCAATTAACCAGTGCAAGCAACCGTTGATCTTTCCGTAGAACGAGCCTGCACCATCTCAGACTCTCGACTCCTCCGCATTCGAAACTACACGGTGCATTGACCTTAAATAACATTCTCGGTACGCTTTCTCTGAACGTATACACAGAGCGCGAGCGGTACAGCGCGCGTAAAATAAATCGAGTCAGGAAAAAGCAAGGTTTCGATTTCGTTACGAGCACATTTTCTCGAAGACGGGTTACTTAAATCGAATTAATGCCGTACGACGTCAATGTCGAATTCGCGCAAGACAAACATCTTCTCGAGAAGGAAATACTCGAAATGCTAAACTCGGAATTTTGAATATCTGTAAATTGGTAATAAACGAGAGAAAACGAAGCAGAGCGAAATTCAAGGATGATCTACAACTTTTCCCACGTTACTACTCGATCGCGAGTACCATCGACTCGCGCGGTACCTACACGCGAGTCCGAGTGGCGGTTTAACGCGTTAATTTACAAGCGCGGCGTATCGCTCGCGTGTACTATTGCGATACAGATTCATGGGCCGATTCATTCACGGCGACACGGAAGACCCAGGGTACCCATTGTTTCCTTCGTTTACTCGCGACATTTTGCTATCGTGAATGGAGCGGATGCCAAGACCCCGATAAACCTACGGCACCCAACGCCTCCGTGACGACTGCGAGCGCGCGATAAACGCGAGGCTTCGTTGAATCGCGCTCGAAGCGATCGGTCGATAGCAGGCTTTCGCCAGGAAAAGAAGATGGGGTATTCCCCTTCGGTCAGGGTGGCAATGGGTGAACCATCGGTACTTGGACAGAGACGTCTGATTGCCCGGTATCACGATACGAGCTGTGACGACACGTGCGATGACCAATACCTTGCGCTATCGATGCCGCGTCGCGACGCATCGTGTCATGGCGGCGACGCTTACGTCTGCGTAGACCAGCTTCGATGGTAGTGGGGCGCAAGTAGGAGAATACTTGGTTTACCGACGATTATGCAGACGCGAGATGTGCCGACTGTTCCTCTGTGCTTTTTTCCCAGGCAATCCTGATCGATAACGCACGAAGGCCGAACGATGCAGCGTGAATCCGTTACAGGTGTACGGGTTGCTGACATGTCTGCTTCGAGGTCGGATCGACGACTTTTCCCGAACTTCGCGATACTCGGGTAGCCGAAAAATTCGAATACGCGCCTAATGTCCATCACTGACGTCCGATATTCGATTGTTCGCGACAATCGATCTCGATCAGCGTCGCGGACCGCGCGCGCGAGACTTTGTAACCCCATCGATCGGTTACCGTCGTCGTTCGATGACCTGTTGCATCGAAGTGACCGAGTCTCCAGGTTTGGCAAAAGCGGCGCTGGTTGCCGGCTGAACGCGCGAATGAAAACTGGTACGAACTTACGAGTGAAAATCTTTTCCCTCTGGAGACCCAGCAACGATCGAGGCAACCGCTATCGACCCGACGTCGATGGGATCTCGCTTGGCGAACGAACACGAAGAAACGTGAGAGAAACGTGCGAACCTTGTCAATCCTCTCGATTGCACTGTGTAAATGCGAGGTCGGGACGTGGAGACCTGGTTCGTTGGAGCAGGCGCAAAGAGACTGCGAAGGTCGTGACGTATCGCGGCGCGTACGATTCAGCAGCACTTCCGAACCTCGCTCGCCTGTTTTCACTGGCAGACTACGGTCTACGGGATTGTTTGGCAAACCACTTCTGCCCGCCTGTAGATATCGTTCCCCCACTCGGCATGGAGCAAAAGAGGCGTATACAAGGTGATCGTGAAAAGAGGATTTCGCATTCTCGACGACGGTTATTTGTGTACGGAAAACGTGGTGGCTGATTTGCGTGCAGCTGCAATATTATGCGCGTGTACTTTGCTCCATTATCGCGTACAACGCTCGGGGGAAGCGATATTGCGGGCCCGTAAATTAAAGCGTTAAACGATGAAAGCGCGGTCGAAAGCAACCGTACCTTTGGGATGCAATCGGATGCAACGGCACGTCGCGTTTTTAGAATCGGTCCAGCCTAAAATTAGCCGGTCGTAATATTAACCCTAACCTACCGCGGCCTAAATCGCCATTTCTCAGCTTTCCCCTGCAAAGCGCGCGTTCAACGTTATCGCTCCGGTCGCGTTCGACACTTTGCGATTTTTCTTTTAATATACATGTAGTAATAATGTTTTATTAATAAGTGAAAATTCGTTGACATTTTGAAATTACAATATGCATAATACATGTAGAAAACGTAGCCTCGAAAACAAGAAATTTATTATTAAGTCGTAATTAGTACGTAATCTCGACATATTTCAAAGTACCACGAAAGTGATCGATGTTATCGGTATAATTATAAGCCGGTGTGCATTATCTATTGATACAGTTAATCACGCAGAGATATGCGCGATAGAAGTAATATAAAAACAATTATTAGACGCATCTTGGACCGATCTTATCGTGTTTCCGACATTTTCTTTCCCCCCCCCCCCCCGATTGTTTTCCAAGCTTCACTTTCATTTTTCAAACGACTCAACGGTCGTTTATCGCACACGGATCACCTAGGTACGATAGTCATCGCGTAGAATCCATTTCTGGAATTACCAATCCTCTAAATATCGGAAGTATGAAGTGGTACTCAGAAATGGTAAGCCGCAAATGATGACCCGTGATTGGCGTACCGAGTTCCAAGTCCGCGTTAATCGACGATATTTCCCGTTTTATTGCTTGGCGTTAAATACCTGTAAGCACAAACTGTGGAGTGTCCTTTGTTGGGGACTTCAACGATGGTAATTTCGACATCAATTGGGGCCGTTGCTTAATAGAATAATTCACGAGCACTGTACACCGTTCGAATCAACCACATGCAGCGATAAGGAAAACTGGACGCGCTTTGTGTGTTTTTATAAACACGTGGATGTGTCTTCGTTGAAAGGGCACACGAATGTCTGTAGAGTGTAAAACTCGTTAATACCACTTAACATTTCCCTTACGTTTCTCGTGGTCTCGAATTGCGCTCGGTCATGCACCTGGTGTTTACTCGGATATTGGAATTTTCTTCGGAGACATTGTGCTTTGGATGCTGCAAGTTCGGGCAATTGTATCCCGTTGTTTACTCCGATCCAGACTCGTTCTTGTTGGCATCGTTTGATATTCACCGTGTAATACTTCGTCCGAACGAACCACGGATCCTCGATCGGATTTAAGTCTGGACTTTGTGCCAGCCGATCTATAATAATAGCGTTGAATTTGTGTTTTTCAGCCGATATTACACAGACTTTTCCAAAATGGCGCTTTCAACCCTATTTTAGGTTAGCCATTTCTGGTACAAACGATATTGGTTGCACCTGTCCCATGAACATGCACCCCCATGTCGCTTTGAATCCGTCAGTACGTTTCGATGTTTATTCGATGCATGACGCGGATTTCGTTTTCTTCCTTTCCTTTCCGATGCCATAATCTATCATAATCTACCGACGATTCACCTTTTACCCTTGCTTAATTCATTTTGCATTTTCCTGCGTTTTATCGCAAGGTGTCATTCATGTTTCGAATCATTTTTAAACGACGTAGATTATGTTTTCTGCCCATTGCATACACGCCTAGATACTCATTTCATATTCATTACTAATTGACTTCTCTGCGCTATTTTTAAGCAAATTAACAGCTATTTATGCACTCGAGATTTCTTCAGTTTTTACAAATAAACAAAAGACTAATTTACGTCATATTTCATTGCAATTTGTCACGCGATAAAGCCAGAATTTAATTCCAGTATTATATTTTTCTCGATTGCCTGTGGCGTTGATTGAAACGTTTGCGAGACATCGGCAGAATTAAATTATCCGCAAAGTTAGTACATTTTTGGTGTGTGTAATTAATGAGAGCGTGAGTGGGTAAGATGCGGCGAAAAATATTCGCGAAAATTAACACACTCGAAGAATAATTTTTGCCATGATGCTTAATTAGGGGAATATAATAGACTAGATCCAAGGCGATGCAGAAACGAGTGAAACGGAATTGCGTGTTCGACGAAAAAAGAAACAAACAAGTATTACAAGAACTCGTGAGAAAAGGGGAGAGGAAGAGAAAAAGAGAGAGAGAGAGAGAAAGGGAGAGAGAGGGAGACCCTGGTTTTTATATAACGGAATATCGGTGGAAGTTTGATATTGTATACTTGGACGAACGTTAATATTTTTGGAAATGGCACGCAGTCGTACCCATATTACGCGTTCCTCGACCAGTGTTTCGAATTTCTGGTTCGGATCGTGCAAGTTTCACGCAGGTTGTTAATTCCAGATTGCCTTTCCCTGCATAGTCATTAGCATATCGGAAAAAGTGCATCGCCGACTGCTAATAATTCGGTAATAGTAACTGGTTCGGTATTTATAGTTGCTGCAAGTAGATCGTAACGCATACACGGTCATTCGAATGGGCATTTTACGACCATAGTCGTTAACCATTGTCTTTCGAAACGAATTAGAAATTTCATTTCTATTTCGTTCCACACGGATATACGTCTGAAACGTGCGCACAGAGAAGGATAAATTACGCAAGATTACCGCGAGACCGCTTACATACATCATTAGCAAAGATAATTAAGAGTAACAAAAAACACTTTGAATACTTTGGCAGTAACAAATGATTCACAGAATCGTAGACGAAATGATTCCCAACGATTGGTAATGAAACGAGAAGCACAGAAGAATCATTGAATATTCGCGTTACATTTCCGACGAATTTCGCTATCCTTTGCAAATTTTTCTCCCGGCGATCGATTTTCCGACATTTCCGCGGATTTTACAGCCTTCGATGTGCATACTCGCTTCCGTTATTACGAAAGAATAATTGCGACACAAACGCGTACAATCGAGTCATGGACACCGATTAACGTGCTCCCACTTTGCGAAGATGATTCTCAACTTCCTCGCGATAAGATATCACGATCACGTTGTTCTTTGGAGCGAGCACCGATTTTCGGATCGACGACCAAGAAGGAACCACGTTCCCTCAAATTCGTCGATAGAAACGCTCGCTTTAGACCGGTGTAAGTTACATAATTCAACGAGCCGTTTGTACTATTCGCGTTACATAATTGAAACGAGACGTTTGCACTATCCGCGTTGCATAATCGATACCCGTCTCCTCGAAAAAGCAGTAGCATCTAGTGCGTGTCGGTAAATAAGTCTAGCGACGCTGATGGAAAAGCGGGAAAGAAAATCGACGTCGGCATCTCGGAAAAGGTGGACGAAGTTTCGACGCGAGGTTCGATCGAGCGAGAAACGTCTCCGCTCTTGCCATCTGGCGACAAAATTTCGTTCCTTTCGTACGTTTTATCGTTCGTCGACAGGACAAACAGTCCCGTGAATGAGTCACGAACGTTTTCGTTGTTTATGCTATTTCTAAACGTGACGGAAATGTGACGGAGGCGATTGATGGTTGATTTAACATCGTTGGATGACAGGTGGATATGTCATTCGTGGACGACAGGCATCGCTTTATTTGCATCGTTTTCGACGCCTTTGGCGTTTGACTCGAACGACTGCACCCGGCACGTTGCCGTGGCGTCGGTGCGTCGGCGCGTCGTCATCGACGCCGACGCCGACGTCGCGTACAGGACCGTACGACGAGGGTCGCGAAACACGTGTTTGAAAATTGCCAGACAGCCGGGAACGTGATAGCGCGATATTCTGCGTAGCTGGTCGACGTATCGTCTGAAGGGCAAATTAACATGAAAATGCGTAAACACGACACACGTTCGTTCGCACGTTCGGCTGGAAAAATTTCGTTACTCGTTGCGCGTACAAAGGTTCGTATATGCATACGCAGAACGGAAACATAGAGAGAGGTCTGGAGAGAAAAAATTTTCCAGAAAAAGAATTTCGCTCGGCCAAGGGAAGCGCCCCACGAGGATTCACCCCTGTTGGCAGAAGTGACGACGACGCCATGTCGACGTTCACCCCCTATAGTTGGTCCGTGCTGCAACCCCCGTTGCGTCCCCAGTTGACCGTGAATCGCGTCGAGCAAGTATATTCCTGGAGATTTTCGTTTTATTCGTCGTGCTGCGAGGTTTCGTCGCCACCAGGTCACTGTCGCTAGGCGAATCTGTGCTATGAATGAAGACCCACCCCTTTCATTTCGAGGTAATTAAAAATACCAGCCTGCCGCACTGACAAAGTGTTTGTATCGACAAGCGGAATGGTCATCGTCTATTCGTCGCGTCAGCGAGATTGCGTCATTACGAATCAATTTTTTCCACCCTTCGAGGTCGTAACGACGTAGAGCGATCGAGTTTTATCGGGAAAACGTCGTACGGGACGGAGGAACGATGACCAAAACGATGAGAGTGCGTGAAAACCTTTTCATTCCATGCCGTTTTGCACGATCGTATAAATATTCGATGAGACACGAGCGGAGAGGCGTCACGAATGTAGGACAATAGATTGTACAATGTCGAAACAATTACCGTGCTATGGACATGCACTCGTCGGGCTCCTTGTAAACGAACGACAATGATCTACGACGTTGCTCGTTCTAGCGCAAGGAGAAAGGAGGAATAAGTGAACGTGTGTGTTTTGCGTTTCGCAGGTCTTGATAGTGTTACTCTTATGCGTAATCCCCTGGCCAGGACCCAGCGTGTTTAAAATATCATGCCCCCGAGATCGAGCGTCCGTGGTGAGGAGGATAGTGCAGAAGGTAAAAGAGACTTTCCATGTGAATTCGTAGCAGCGTCATAGGCTGATAGACGATATAAGTAGAAACGGAAAAGAAAATGAGAAAACGACGATAGAAAATTATTAGGCTTATCGAGGCGAAACCCCTGAGAGCTTTTCGATCTTTCAGAGATGGATGCCAATCCTGAAGAAACACCAAGTCGAGATGCCGTTGGACTGTCCGTTTCACGAAAGTCGAGACATTTTCCGGCCACAGCAAAAGGCGAAGCACCAGCACAGGCCGTCGCAATGGACCTGCGGTCTCTGTGGCAAGTCTTTCTACGCGGAGAAACACTTGGATGTCCATTTCGATAACAGACACAAGAGTAACGTGAACACGGTAAATTTGTCGATTCGCTTAAGCTATTATTTGCTCGATATTCCTTGGCGCGAAATGGGAGGTGTCGTTGAAATCGCTTCGCCGAGGATTCCAATTCCATCGCGCTAATCACCCCGTAAACCGTGTCACGCGGGCACACGCCCTCGTAACGGGATCGTGATCACTGAGATATCATTTTTCCGATATCGGCGCTTCTATAAAAAGCGCATTCATCGGTTTCGTAAGACACCTTTCATTTCCCACCTGCTTAGGAAAATCGACGCTCTATCGCGGTAAACGTAAATAACTTCAAATACGGCAAGACCGGTTGCCAAGTGTGTCAATTATAAATGAAATGGTTGGAGGCCAGGCGGAGGACGCGGTATGCCTCGCGGACTACTGCGACATCATGAGGTGCGACGTGTTGGGCAACCGGGATTTCGAAAGTTCCCTGGTGGACGACGAGGCTGGCCACCATAGCACCGACATACAGGTGTGGAAGGAAAACACGGAGAAACGTTCCACTTCGGTGATGCCCTGCGAGTCGCGAGGCAGTTTCTCCAGGACGTATCCGGTGGAGAAAGCCTGCGCTGTAGCCGGTGGTGGAGCTGTCAGCAACATTCAGCAATACTGTCATCGAGAGGACAACGGAGGATTGGAGAATCGGCACTTGCCAGGAGCAGCGTTCCGCGTCGAGATGCCCGGGCCAGACAACAAGAGCAACGCCTGCGACAACGAGGACGAGGAGGACGAGGAGGACGAGGACGACGAGGAGAACCTCGTGGAGGCGGCTCTGCCAGCCGTGGACAAGAAACAGAGGCGCAAGGGGTTGCATCTGAGGAAGCTGAAGGCCAACTGCAAGCCGGAGGAGCTGCAGAAGCTGAAGTTGCAGTGCGAAGTTAGTTGACTTCGTGGGAAGATTGTAGAAATTTCGATCACGAGTCTAATTTACTTTGGTCCGCAATTCGTCTCAATGGGATGTCGATAAGATCGACGAATAGTCGAGCGATACGAACGAGTGGACGACCTCTTGGGTTCGATAAGAGGATGTCTGCTTGTGAAACAATGTATGATATCTCTCGAGAGCCGGCGAATTCAATGATCGATTTCTCGCTCTTCTATGGCAGTCGAAGATTTCAGATCGGGTTTTGAGTATGTAAGATTATCGCACAGGTAGTAATTGTTGGCCTTGGAAGCTTGGGTTCTCGTAAAAGCGCTTGTTCGTAATCGCTTCGAAAAAACTCGTATCTATGAGTACCTTTCCCAATGGCGTGTTACAAAGTGGATCGCTATTTTCTGGCTTAATTTGTGTGCCGTAAGACGAACAATCGATAATTCACCAAGGTCGCGCTTTCCACGTTTAACCGAGTATCGCTACTAACACGATTTGCCAGTAATTCGTAGACTAATGGTACACAGTTGACGAGGATCTAACCATGCGTAGTAGCAAATTGTGGCATAGGATGAGATAACAAACAGGTGTGAGTAACATATTTGCATCGCAATAATATTGTTTCCGATCGTATTGACAGGTTCTCATCCACGATTGCATCGCTGGACTTTTGGCGAACCTCTCGATACGAGATTTTCAGGAGATCGAAGGTATGCGATCACGATACGAACCGACAAATGTTTATCGATAAGTATGCTTTAACAAACTCCGTTGTGATCTCGTTTTCCTTTTTAGGAGAGTTGAACCGCGCGATATGCTGGTATCTCAGCTGCGACAGGTATTGGGAGGACACGAAAAGGCAACAGAGGCACACACCCTGGTATCTGTTATCCATTTTTCTGGTCATACTGTTTTCGTCGATTTACGCGTGCTACTACATTATTTGGGTGCTGTTTAAGTACGTACGTACGTTGGACCATATTTATACGTTACAGTTGTTTTCGACTTATCACCGAGTTTATTTACACGACTTCAGCGGTAGAAAAAATTATCGGCGCGACGACTGTCGTCACGCGTGCAAGATTAAACGCGATGCGTCGGAAATACTCGCAACAATAATAATTCTAGCGCTCCGCCACTAACCGTGTGTTGCTGGAAATTACTCGAATTATGTATTTGCAAACGATTTTCGCGATATCTGCATTCAGCTTACATAAAAGTTCAAAGCTCATTTTTTTAATAAGCTCCGATGTTTCAACGATCGGTAGATTTGCATAGCTTTCATGTGAAAACGCATTAATCTTCTTCGGTTGATATTAGACGGAAGATAAGGTCCGGAATTAATTTTTTGCAAATCAGCATACCAACGCGAATAAACATGCCGGTGTCATCGGTCATATTTATACGCGTACTATCGTTGCTCTACTCGAAATATGTCGTAAACCTTTGCGTTGGCGTAAAATTACGCCCGTTAGATCCAAATGTAATACGTATATATAATTTTACGTAAATTAATTGTCACGATATATGATAGAGAAACCTCGTCTTACAGTTCAGCGGAAAAGGACAGGATGGACGGGGCCGGATTAGAGTATACAGATGCAGATCTCACTACGACGTCGTTACACGATCAGAGTGGTCCTGGCGAGGGCAGATCCACTGGAAGAAGAAAAGGGGATGAGAATATGCCTGTTCCGAACGAGGACATGCCCGATCATTATATATACGTAACCTATCCACCCGAGCTAAAGCAGCGATTACTGGACAGGTAAATAGCATGAGAAAAGGTGTACAGATATGATGGAATATCGATATCGAAATCGTACAGTGATCCTCCTGCTTGCAGCTGCTACAACAGAACCACTCGACTCTAAAGTCGAAGAGATAGGAGAAGGTTGGGCAGAGATTCGATGGGGAATATGAGAACAGCTCGCTCCATTTCGCGAGTCAGTCTCGTGGCTGACCACCTTCTTCCTTATTTTTTCTCCTACCCTTGTTCTTCGTGTTTTGTATATCAACTGTGGGAATAAATTGCAAGATGTACACGAGAAAAAAAGAAAGTTTGTTTTGATAACTTCGTTACAGTCCTTCTGTCTCGTCTCACCTCACATGTGTCTCGCGAGACACCGTGTTAAGCTTCGTAATTAAGATAAGTTGAGAATCTACTTGAAAGTATAAGTCCGATTAATTTCTGCTTCCAAAAAGTAGTCGTTTAAGTAATCTATTGATACAATCGATACCATCGAGTCGAACATTTCATTGAACCGTACAGGTACATTACACAGAGGCTAAAGTATCCGCGAACATAATCGTCTTCGCATGCAAATAGGCGGGAAAGGTAGACGTGACGAAACGCGATGGACAATGATATCTTCCAAGTTCGGTAGCGAGGGTTTTATTTTCAAACTCAAAGCTCGACTCAAATCTAGAACCAGTAAGTCATCTTGATGGATCCATCGGAGTCCCGTTGCGTGTCCATCACGCTGGACTGTCGAACCAGTCGACGCACACTCGCACCGCTTGGTCTCTGTTGATCCTCTAACAATCTCTGAGGTATCGGTGCCTCGGGTACCTCGTGCATCTCCACGGTTTCTCTAGCTGATAGATCTTCGTAGGAAGTTGACGCTGACGAAGGTCTAAAACCGAGGCGTTTAGACAAATGAAAATCGTTACGTAAGACACGTAGACATGTTTTCGATCATTGATTTTTCTAACGATACAACTCGTACTTGATTGGAACGCAACGAAAGCAGTCGGCACAAGTCCAATCCTTTCCAAACAGCTCCCCTTCCTCCACGGTCTGGGGTAATCGATGATGCAGTGTCTCGGGCAAACGCAGGCCAGACAGTCCACCGATTACAGACACAACTCCAAGAATCACGAGGGGCAGCACCAAGTTTTCTTTGCCCTGCGCGAAATGACGCAAATACTTGAGAGATTCGTCTGACCGCGAACGGATTGATAAGCTTATTTACGATCACTTACGAGATACGTAACAAAAGGAATGATTATGAGTCCGAGACCACTGATGTAAGCGGAGAAACCGATCGCAACGCCGCGCAATTGCGTGGGGTAAAGTTCACCGGCAAATGGATATATAATTAGAAAAGAGGCCGATATCGCGGATTTCGATAAAAGGAATAGAATTAGCGTGGCCACGACTGCATCTGTAAAGAAAAAAGAAAAGAATCAATTGAGATTAACGAATTTCATTTCCTACTCTCGGCTGCATCTCTTCTCCCGGCGTACGCATTCGTTTGGGGAGATTCTCCCCCCGTTGCGTGCGATTCTTTTATAAATGAAATTTAGTACCAGATGACAAAAGAACCGTGGCAATGCACGAGACACCGGCCACTACCATGCACAGGCAGAGAGGCCAACGACGACCCCATCGATCCATCACGACCCAGCAAGCCATATAGCTCGGTATCTCAGCCAAGGATGAGAAGAAAAAGCTCAAGTGCTCCTCGTTGCCCAATGCTGGCCCGTAGTACGATAATCCCACGTACACCATGTTATTGGCGAACCTAAAACGAAAACAAAGCGAATGAATTTTTAATAACGCGCTGATTTGCGATATTTCGTAATTCCTTATTTATTTCAAAAAGCATGCAGTCATGTCGGATAAACGGTATTTAAGTAAACAAAAACATTGAGAGATAAAAGAATCGGAAACACAAACGCAGCACGTTTATCGTAACTGCCGATTTGCCGGATACTTGAACTTTGATTTACCAATTTAGAGTGATCAGACAGGTCTTCAGACGCATGTTGGGCGTTTTGAAGAGCGACAAAACACCCGGTCCGCTACGTAATCTCTCCTCTTCACTTTTGGACCGTGACATCATCATTCGCTGTCGTAGTTTCTGCGTGAAAGAGGTCGGTAACTCGTTCCCGTTTATCTTCGCCAAACGTTCCAGGATGTCGTTCGCCTCGCCTAATCGACCCTTCGCCAACAACCATCTCGGCGACTCTGGCAGAAACCTGGAATAACGTTGAACGTTACACAATCGCGTCTTGACAGACGAAAGAATGCGTACAGAAGGCAAAATGGCAATTACTCACCACCAGTACAAGAAATACAAAAGGAAGGGTGCGCTCGTAGTTATGGCTAACGTTCTCCAATCTCTTATCAAATAGGTCACGCCAGCCAACATACACAGACCCATTGTATAAAAGCTGCACGTCATCACTGTCACGAATGATCGATAATTTGGTCCAACCAGTTCCAAAGCTATTTGCAGGAAATCAGAGTGAAAAATTAATATTCGATTCGCTCGGTGGACCAATATTCCTCATCGCTATCGTACTTTCAGCTATATTTTTAGTTCATTTTTATTGAAAAGCCTTACATATGATATCAGGAATGGTCAAACCGACGACCATCCTGGTGGCAGCCCAGGTCCAAAAGCTGTTCGATATCGACGTTAAAAATCCACCGGTTATTAAAGTCGCCAGACAGGTGAAGAAAGACAATCTTCTACCGATTCTACGTGATGTAACAAAGATAATGAAACAATCTGTATCTCTATTTCTGAAACTACATAACGATGAATGTTACCTGTCGTTCAGAGTGCCAAAAAGGTACACCCCAATTGGTCCTCCCGTGTTTAAAGCGACCAAACCGATGGTCGGATAAATCGCGTGATCGCACACGAGATTGAACTGTAACGTTTCAACAACGTGATTAATCGTGAAATTAAGCGATAGGCTTTATCGAGGAATTTGGTGCAAGGCAAACACATACGTCGATAACGATGGAGGATTTCACTTCCGAGGTCTCGTACTCCCAACCATGGTCGCATGGAACAACGGGCCATGATGCGTTTGGCATGTACGATGCTGTTGTCACGATAGAAATATTTTCCGCTGTCCAGTCGATATCGTATCGTGTGCATTGACTGTACGTTTCATTGTCATCCTAATTATGAAAGCGATTGTTACGATGCTGCGAACAAACGACTGGTACGTCTCTACCGACGATCAACCACGTCCTCTCCCTACGTCCAAAGCGTAAAATATCCTTACGAGGTACAAGCGTACTAGCGATTAGCCGATTTCCAGACAAGGAATCGATACGAAGACCAACGCAAGCTCTAAACCTCTCCCTCGTCCGCCTAACCTACTCGCAGACTTGGCCATTGGTATACTCGACAAGCATAGACTAAATTTTCATCAGCTAGCACTGTCTGGGTCCTCGATGTGTCCACTTTGTTCGTCATAGAACAAACAAGACGAGGGAAAAGGAAGAGGAGAAGTAAAGGTGATATCTCTAGCATCTAGACCGACAATTGCACCTGACTGGTCGGAATCGCGAGTCTCCTCCTGCGAGAGACATCCAGGCTCTCCAACCCCGGCACTTTGCACCAGTGGGGTGGCGTGTCAGCCATGAAGAGCTGATTGAAGGCGCAAAAACCACACGGGAGACATGCCGGAAGACACACGAGCCAGAGTAGCTGCCTCTGGTATCGGCCGAACTCGCCGACGATCGGTAGGAGATCGTCGAGGTCGAAGCCATCCTAGGAATTTCGAGATTCGTGGATTCCATTGACCAGATAAGGGGTACAAACCCACAAGCAAATACCCGGATACCAACGGGAATTATTATCACGGCGTGACGGATCTTTTTCTAAGCGTAATTCTACTCGAACAAACTTACTTCGTCATCGGCGCTCCTGGTCGCCTTAGCGTTCGCTGATCCGGCGTCTCGATTCTCATCCAAGTGCTCCATTCTCGTGAACCTTGCGCACGTTCAGGCTACCAAAACCTCGCCGATACCTTAGAAACGCGTTACGTGACGTGTATTAGCTCCCTTCCGATGGCACTGCAACCGGCGTGCCATTTGTTCCATCCTGCTGCGCCTTTTTCTCTTTCACCCTTGCGCGATCGTGACACGAGTGTGTCCCTCCAAGGCCGCCACGAATCGGACAAAAGTATTTAGATAGCTTGTCTCAGCTCTCGCAGTAGATTTACCGAGTTCTAGTAGGGCACGAATCCAAAAGGATTTGAATATATTAGAAAATTGATCGGTCACTGTGTATCGATCCACTGCTCGCTCAACATCCTTCAAAAAGCTCGCCTTTTCGGCTATCGTTACTCTCCCCTCAAGGCAACTCACTTGCTATGCTCGTCATTGTGTCGGAAAAAGGAAAAAGAAAATGGGTCGAGTCGAATTAGAGAGGTCTGCAAATGCGAGATAGAGAGAACGCGTGACAATTAGTGCGTATGCAGAAAATTTATCCAAATCGATGAATGGGTACTTCGTACGCCGACGAGGAGGCGAATTGCTACTCGATGCCGCGAGTACACCGTGTTACTCCGGAATTTTGATGGCGAATACACCGATATTGTTCATCTCTCGGATATAGTACATCAAGCAGCAGCCTCTGTTCGCTCGTTCGAAAGCGCGATCAGAGAAGCAGAGGTAAAGTCGCGCACGCACTCGCAGCGCGTTTCACGCACGGGAAGAGAATCGGGGAAATGCAGGCGAAACGACTTCAGAGGCGCGTGTTACGGGGTGTGCCCTTCTAATTCAATTGGGTTAAGGGTACTTAGAGGAGATTAGGAACAATGCTGACACATGCTGCTGCGTGGCGGCCGAGATTCGCTCTACCAACACACCGCGTGATTTTTGCGTCATTTCCCGATTTCCCATCGTTATCGCTCGTGTATTTTCGAGGATTCGTTTTCGCATTTTTATCCTGATTACACGTCCAATCTTCTCGCGAGCAGAAATTTCTTTCTCGCATAGAGTATCCCTTTCTCTGTATCCCTGCGAGATTTTCTGCGCGTTCCATGTTTCGAAATTTTTATATATATATATATTTTAAGAAATTTTGACACGCCGAGGATAACGGTTCGACGTCGAATTCGTTTTTGATTATTTTTGCTGCAATAACGACGATCATCGGCGAATTCTTGGTATCACGTGGCGTACGGCTTCCGTTCGAATCCGAGGTAATCCAATTGTCGTAGCAAGGGACCGTCGACAGAACACACAGGCAATTGCGCGAGTTTCTGACCCGTGTGTTCTCGGACGTTTCGCGTGCGAGCGATAAATTTTCCGCACTTTCGATATGAGATTACACTTGGGGACGATATCGGAAGCGATAGGTCAAGGTGCATGATTATCGAAAGAAAAGTGAGAAAGAGAAGCTCGATGCTGGAGCGGCGATTGGTAATAATGGCATCACTGCGTGTGTACAGATTCAAAATGAATTTTTATTCTGGACAATCTCGTTTCGTTGGAGACAGAAAAGGAAAGAAAAGAAAAAGAAAAAAAAAAAAAAAAAAGGAGAAGAAATGTCAACGTGAAAACACATGTGGAAGCAATTCGCATTTTTCGATGGTCGAATCTTGCGGGATGAAACGATCTCGCTTTCTTCTCGGTACAAGATATTTCTTTTTGGTTTTTTTTTCTCTCTCTCTCTCTCTCTCTCTCTCTTTCGTGTAGGAGACATACAGAACGCAAGTGTGTTTTCGTGTTTTCTCTTTTCCCTCATTCTTTCACTTTTTTTCGTATTTTTCTTTTTTTTTCTTTTTTTTGATCTTTTTCTCAAGGACGATGAAAATCATGATGTTAGCAGTCGAAATGATTTCTCTTGTTTAATTAATCGTATGGCACTGTCGCTTGGCGATTCGTATAATCGTTTCTCGTACACACACTGACAAGGAGTACGATCGGTCACGCGAACCATTTTGGACCAAGGAAGAAAAGATTCGCGTCCCTAAACAGACTTCGTGAGAATTACGTTTCGATGATAACGCATGATACGAAACGAGATCAACGCGGGAAAAAATGACGAGAAGCAGGCGGACTCTCTCACACGAGCTTTGATTTTTCTCTTGCGCACATGTTTGACGTTTGTTTCTTTATTTCTCGAGCTTATCTCATATTTTTTCTTGTATTTTTTCTTTTTTTTTCTGTAACCGCGAAATAGATCTTCGCTGGTCCAATAACGTGACCGATCATACGTGGAACATACTTTCCAGAAGAATCGTCCCCCAATCATTCCACGATCGCTCTATAGCACTCAGATAAGCGATGTAGCCGATGTGTCACATATAGTCGTTGTCATTTGGAAATCTTCACAGAACACAGGCTCCGCAAACCACACGACTGACACAAACCGAAAAGAAACGAAAGATACGTAAATATCTCGCGCTACGTGGGTATGCTGCACCCTCTCCCATTCAGTGATCTTTCTCTCTCTCTCTCTCTCTCTTTCTCGCGTGTAGCAAATTATTGGAAGTTCAGGGAGATCGCGGGGGAAACGCCTTCTACGGCGTACGATGCGGGATTCGTTCTTTCGTAACAAAATAAAGTTTCTTCGTTAATTTAATCTCGCGTTAGTTTGAGCATTATCTTCCTTGACAACCGTAAGATAACCGAACGTTAGCGCTCTTCGCCTCGAGAGAACGCGTTTCGGTTCTCTATGCCGCGGCGAAGAGGTAATTTTATTTTTCTATTCAGCGTAGATAAGAAATTAATCTGCCGTAACGAGAGGCACGTTATCTTGGTCGAACGTTCGTGGCACTTACGCTAAATTTCGGACACTAGAAGTAGACCTATCAGAAATTGCAAAATAGGCCAGGAATATTATCGATCCGTCGAAATTTCTGCAGCGATTTTTTTTCTCTTTTTCCTTTTTTTCGTTTTTTTGTCTTTTGTTTTTCTTTTCCGATGGCGTAATCGAGGTGAAAATCGAACTCTAGGAAACAAATTGGAGAGGGTGAGCAAATTACAGAGTGGCAGGCTAAATAGGACTCCATCCCACTCGTGTTCTCGTTTATTCGTTTTTTCTTTCTTTCTTTCTTTCTTTCTTTCTTTCTTTCTTTCTTTCTCTCTTCCTTTTGCTTCAGCCCACGTTTATCGCCCGAATTGTTCACATGCGTAAATTATAATGTTTGGTCCGATCGTCGATCGGCAGCACTCGACAGCACTCTCTCTCTCTCTCTTTCCGCATATCGTCACAAAAAGATCAATCTCACACGCTCGATTTACCTTTACTCCTCTCTCTTCTCTCCTTATTCACGTTTCTTTTTTTTTTTTCTTTTTTTTGCAGCTTTTTTATTCAGTTTTTTCGTTTGCTTCTCCTTGAATTCGTTAGCTTCCTTTTTTGTGTTTTTTTTCTGTTTTTTTTTTTTCTTTTTATCTTTATTTAAATCACACGACATGCACGGTAATGGGGCATTTTGGACTCGACGCATCCGGTCGAAAAATCGTAGAAAGAAAAATATCCGAGGATACGGATCGAAACGTGACGCACACGCGAAAGCACTACCAGGCGTCGTCTGATCGATCGATCCTCGGTCCTCTGCCATTACCGTGCAATTTCTCTGACGCTTTGGAACAACAACAGCTCTACACGCGTTGGCCTCGTGTTTCGCGACTCGATCGTTTAAAAAATATTATCGAAAATATTGTCTCGTACGTACAACGGCACCGCGGTTTCGAATAAGTCCGAAGAACGGAGAGACCCTGGGCCCTGGGGCCCGGCGCGTCGCTGAAATCGTCTCGAAAAATAATTCATCTGCGTGTTCTGCGTGGATTCGATTATCGTCTGGTTCGCATCGTCGTTATTATCGTTTATCGTCTACGTAACAGCTTACAATGTTTAAATTCTCCGTGTTCTCTCTCGTTTCTCTATGTTGCGTCTGAATCTCAGCGTAGCGCCGGGACAATAGTCCAGCGACAGTTCTCCGATCTATAACCGCGTCACGATACAAAATTTATATAACTTTTTTCTTATTTTCATCCTTTGTTTCTTCTTTATTATTATTATTATTATGCTTTTTTTTTCTTCTTTACAAATCGACGATTCGTCCCTTCCCGAACGTGACGCCGCGATTCAACGTCGAATCACGAGCCAACTCTTCCTCACCGTCATCCCTCCACCACCACTGGCAAATGCACTCTCTCTCTTCTTGCGTTTCTCTCTCTCTCACACATTCTCTCTCTCTCGCGCTCGTTCGCTCTCGCTCTCAGTATTCCTCGTTCTCTCAGCGCATTCGCTCTTCTCGTCGCTTTTATCTTCATTCGCGGATAACACCCCAACAGGACACACCCCCATAATCGGTAAATCGTTGATCTACCTCACAGCGCACATCATCACTGATACAGCGTAATGCACATGCTTGTCACTCCCTCTTTTTTTCCCCTTTTTAATAATTCTTATACTTAAATACGCTCTCACGTACGTTCCCTAGTAAAGCATCGCACGCACTCTAGGAGTCTCGACGATGAAAAGGCTAACAACTAATAGTTCGATAAGATATTATCGTGTGAGTTTGTTTTCGGAAGCGTGGCCCCGGCCCGCGTCTCGTTTCCCCCGATCACGTAAACGGAAAAAGAGAGGAAATTCTTCGTTTCTCTTTAAACGATCCCGAGCGAGCGTATACCGTTCGTTTTCGTGTTACTCCCTGTTATACATTTATTCGGTAATATACGTGTGTTTGTGCGCGCGTTAGGGTAGCTCGGGGCGCAGAGAGCAGCGAGCGTTCATCCCTCGAGAGACAGTCGGACGAAAAAGATAAATTATGCTGGACAACCGGAGAGCGAGTGTGTATTACGCTCGAGATCGCTCGTACATCACAAGCGGATCGCGAGGAGGAGAAACACGGATCACCCGGTGCCACGCTCCCTTTAGGGTAGAACATCGACCCCTCGCACACGAGAGTCTCTCCAAAAAATCACAGTCGCATATATAATATAATTTGCTTCCTTCGTATTCCTCATTCTCACAACTCGTTACTCGTTCTCCATCACGGCACGGCCGGCGTTTCGTTTCCTAGTTTCCCAACTCTGCCCTTCTTCTGCGGGCCCTTTCACCACCGATTCCTATCTTCGCTCTCTCTCTCTCTCACTCTCTCTCTTTCTCTCCCTCTTTCTATTTTTCATCATCTTTTCACCCCTCTCGGCGGACCTGATAACATAATTCGCGCTAACTATCATCACCTCGAGGATAACCTGAGGATACAACCTCGTAGTCCTCTCTGGTGGCGCCTCGGGTGGATTAGGTTATCGTACGATCATGAAAGGATGATCTCGGGCATGATCGATCGTAAGCTACGCGCGATGAAAGGAATAATCGTCGCGTGTTCGTTTCATCCACCTGTACAGCCTGTTTCGAAAATAGGTAGCTGGATCTTCTCTCATCGTTTCGTTACCTCGCGGGGGTAGAAAGGGACGTCGAATAGGAAACGCGCGAATCTTTCTCGTCCCAACCAACGAGCGGTAAGATCGAAATGAAATTTGGAAAATGTCACCACCCATTTTGGAGATAGCCTGTAGGCGCAGCTCTCGATTGTCGGCGAATCAGAAGAACAGGCGAACGATCGAGTTGTTTATCAAGACACGGAAAGACGCGCACCGCCGTCCTCTCCGTCGTGGTTCCTCACTCTTTCTCTCGTTCTCTCATTCCCCCTTTCACATCCACATCCTTTCTCTCTCTCTCTCTCTCTCGTTCTTCCACTCTCCTCTCGCTCTCTTTCTCGCGTCCTCTCTTTCC